GTGTGTGTGTGTGTGTTTCAGCACCACGCTGCCGGACAGCGCCACCGGAAGCCCCGCCCAGCAGCAGTAAACACGCTGCTCAGTGACGGAAAATAAACGCACCTTCATCCACTTAAAAACACCATTTATTACAATAATCTCATTTTAACCGGATTTTATTACAAACACCGAATAAAAGTCGCAACAGCTCGTGTGTGTCTGCCAAAATGATGCGCAGCTTCTTCTCCTGAAAAAACCTTCGCTCCAAACTCCATTTAAAATCGCATCAGTTTAAAGTTCCCTTGTTCGCAGATACAGATATATAACATCAAACTAATTTATTAAACCAGTTGCTGTATCTGTGTTCACCACTTTTAAATTCGGCATTCATTAATCACATTAAATAACACGTCTTCCACTAAAACTATCAACTCTTTGAGAGGGTCTGTCTATGACACCGGCTGCATCTTTACCTGTAAGAGCCGCTTATATTGAACGATTTGTAAACGGAGTCTGGTGTAAACGACGCAGGCTAACAACGGAGGAGAATGAGAGCTAACGTTAATGTTTGTCAACAAACAACCAAATATTCTTCAGTAATTTTACAGAAAACAACAACAACAACAAACCCAATCAGCCCTCGTGTCGTCGGAGCCGGTTTTACCGTTAAATGAGACCCACCTGGTTCCCGGTCCTCCCGGTGGCTCTTACTGGTTCTCCAGCGTGGACCGGTCCGTCCCACAGGTCACATACTGGAGGCTCACTGGGTGGGGTTTAATTGGTTACTGGTGCTGAATCTGTGTGCCGAGAAAACACGACCAGTGTCGAGTCAGCGAAAATACACGACATCCGGTCATCGATTTTCAAAATAAAATACAAGCTATGGAAGCCCAATTCCGCCAAATTAAATTGCCTGTGAGTGTTTTTACAAATATAGTCTGATTTATTGATTATGTAGCTGCCATTATACCTGCTCCTGATCTGCAGCTGAAAATTAGCCAGAAAGAAACTAAAAATGTTCATTAACTGTCCCGTAACATTAAACCGAATCAATAAATCAATAAATCAATCAATAAAAGTAAATATCTGTTGCTGTAGAGTTTGTGAGCTGAAACCAATTATAGATCAGACTCACAAGATTACTGAGATTACTACGTAATAGACTAACAGTGTAATATATATTAAAAATAAGTTTAAAATTAGATTTAATAAAATAGCCTGTGAGCATATTTTCTGTAAGATAATAAACATATAAAGGAGACAATTTCTGGATAAACTGTTGTTTTTAGAACCCACTTAGAATAAATTATCTTTTGTAGAAAAGTGTCAAAAATACATAACTTGGTCTACAACAGCAATGTATTCATTTGTATTATTATTGTTGTTGTTATTGTTGTTATTATACACAATGATATTGAAAGGTGTATTTTTGAAAATGTAACTCATTCCTGTAGAACAACGTACCTGTATCTACTCACCTTTACGCACCAATCAAAGACAATGTGCATTAAATACTAAATAAACACTGTAAAATAAATCTGTACATTTACAGGGTTTTTCTGTATTTTTTAAATACGTAGAAATAATCTAATTATTACAAAAATAACCTGTGAATTTACATATCTCATGTAAAATAATGTGAAAAATCTCTAACTAAATAATTATAAAAATTAGTTATTTAAAGAAAAGTTCAGTTTTTTCCCACATAAAAAGATTAAATCTATATTTTTTTTACAGATATAACATTTTAATTTAATGCTGTTAATACATTTTTATGTTGAATAGATGTTGTTTATCAGTGTGGTAAACTGTCCAAATACAGTTTTTATCAGTGAAAACAGCAATAATTACTGTAATTTCACAGATAATTACTTTTATTACAGTTCTATAACTTTCAGTTCACCTGTATTTATAGCTCATTTTATTGGTTTTACAGTTCAATATCTTTGATTAAACATTAAAAAGACAAATAACACAAGATTTTATGTAAAATAAAGCTAAAAACTGTATTTTAATGAAATAAAATTACTGTATTTTCCATTATATCATTGAAGAACAACCTCGGCGCCACACTCACCCACGGCGATGAAGTCCTCCTGCTCGCCGGAGTGGGCGGGGCCGAGCGGCCCGTCGTAGAGGAGCAGCCCGTTTGCCGACTCAGCCAGGAACTCCAGGGAGATGTGGCTCTGGAAGCAAGGCATGATGGGAGGGAACCAGGCGTAGCCCTGACCGCCGAAGCTGTGTTTGGTCTGCTGACACTCGGGGCCGTCGAACATGGGAGGACATTTACATCTGAGAGACAGGAAGAGGTTGTTTTATTGGTATTTATTTATTGACTTCTGCTCTTATTATTGTATTCTGGTATTCATTATCAACCTGTTTAATTATATTTTGTGTATCACAGCTATATTATTATTATTATTAATAAATATCAGTATCCCAGCTTCTAAAGATATAAAAATATATAAGATTATTATTATCATATTACTAAATTATACATATATTATTATAATTATACATTCCTTCATTATATTTTGATTATATTTTTTAATTATATTTAAAAACCAGAAAAGTTCATTTAACTCAAACAATTGTTGAAACCGATTTTTTTAAGTAGTTTTAGTAATTTTAATATTTTTATAAAATAATGATAAAAAAAACAACGAGTAAAATGTATTTAATCAAGAATGTTTTAAAACTTAAAAAATTGAGTTTGTGTAACTTTAAATAAAACACAGTTTTAACAGTTTAAAATAAGTTATCACATTACAGTGTATTAATTAACATCTAAACTCTGATGCCCAGTCTGTATGATTGTTCAAAATAAAACTAAAAAACATAATACAGACAAAGAATTGTATAAAAAGTTCGCAAAAATATCAGAAAAACTAATTTCTGATCAATATTCACAGGAAATAATCTAAAAAAAATCATCCAAACCTTCCTGCAGTTGTTGTGTTCACTGTTTATATTTATATCAGCTGTATTTGTTGAATAAAGTCAGTCCACTCATTGATAACCCTTAAATAAATCACTGTTATACTACTACTACTACTACGCACTGTTATACTACTACTACTACTACTATTACTAATAATAATAATAATAATAATAATAATAATAATAATAATAATACACCCTGCCTGTGCCTACCTGTATCCCAGCGGCCCGTCCTGGCAGCTGCCCCCGTTGAGGCAGGGGTTGGTGGGGTAGGCGGAGCAGGGCAGGTGGATTGCCTCTCGGCCCCGGCAGCCACACCGCGCCGTCGATGAGGCCGACAGCGACACCAGAGAGGTGTTGCCGCTGCTGAGGGCCACCGGGGCCTGGCTGAACGACACGTCGCTGCTGCAGCCTCCGGACTGACCGCAGTCCGTGGACGGACAGTCGTCAACTCCCACCTGAGAGATGGTTGCGCCCAATGCGGCCTCCAGCTGCAGGGCGCCAAAATAAGAGACAGAAAAATATTTATGTTAAAATGCAAAAAGTAAACTTCAAACTAAAACTACAACATAACTGAGATAAAACGAACTGAAACAAAAACTAGCAGGAATCTAGTATGAAGCTACCACGAGGACTAAAGTAAAAGTACCATAAAATGCTGCTAAACTCTTTACCTCTTCATCATACAGATTAGTGTTTTTTATGAATTATTAATCAAGTATCTGAACACTAAAACTAGCAACTAACACTAAAAACTAAGTAAGAAAAAAAGGAACTAAACTAAAACTTGAATAGGGGCAACTGAAACTGAACATAGCATGAAACTTATACTACCATTAACTCAAAGAACATTAACATTAACTAACTGTAAAGATTTAACTAGGATAAAAATAACTGACTAACTAACATGAGGCTAACACTAAAACCAGCAAGAAGCCAACTGAAAGTAACCGCAGAAAGGAACTAAAGCTAACTCAACAATAACCGGCTTACAAACTGGAATTAAACTAAAAAAAAAAAAACTAACGAGAAATTAACAAAAACTAGCATGAAACTGAACTGAAGGTAGTTAACCGAATATAAACCTAGCGTTAGCCTAAAGTATCATAACGGTAACTTAAAAACAAATTAAACTATGAAGCTAATTAAAACAAAATCTAAACTAAACTACAATTATACTAGCATAAATCTATGGGTAACAGGAAAGATAACTAGTCTAAAATGAGTAGAGGGCTAACAACAACTAGGATTAAACTAGATAAACATTAAGTTACTCAAACTAAAATAATTAAATTAATAAATATAAGCTAACTGAAACTAAAATTAAGGTTAAACTAAAAGTATTATGAAACCAATTAACCCCCAAAGAGAAACAGACTAATTGGAAATAACAGGAGACATAAAACTACAATTAAAACTAAACGTGGGCTGAATGTAAAATATAAATAAAGTAACATTGGGACAAAAAACAAACAGCACTATTGAAGTTGTGAGTTGTGTTTGAACATAATAGAAAATTTCAGAGAATGACAGCAGCTCTCTTTCATCTCACGTCTACCTGCATCAACGATATCTGAATTTTACTCTTTTTCACTTTAATGTTATTTATGCACTTTGGTGTTTCTCTGTCATTTCCTCTCCTGTTAAAGTTTTTGCTGTCATTTACTTTCTGTTCACCCGTTTTCCCTGCTTGTCATCTCGATTCTCTGCTCTTGTTTTGTCTTTATGGGTGAGAGGTTTTCATCAGAGTCCCTCAGGGTTTCCTGTCTCTCTCCAACTGTGTGTACTTCTTCTTTTTAGGGGAGTTTAGTTGTTCAGCTGACGCTCTTATATCCGCAGTGACTTACACTCCCCAGGCAGGGCTTCAGTTTTTGGCTCCAGAGCCAGTTTTATTGGATTTATCTGCCATTGTTGTTCTGAATCAGATGCTAAAATTTCCTTTTAACCTGAGATAATTAAAGACAGGCCTTTCTTCTGCGGCATTTGGTGTACAAGTTATTTTTAATCATGCTGTGTGCTTTGTTCTGGTGTTTATACTCAATACTTTCTATTGACTTGAGTCTGATTTTTTAAATAAGCTGCTGAATGAGATACTGAATCTGTCCTGACACTTTGACAGAAAATGGCTTCAGGAACTGAACTTGTGACTAAAATAATTACTCTACTTTTGCTCCTAAATTTAGTAAATGTTTTAATGCAGTATCTACACGTAACGCCTAACGTTAACTCTAGTTTCTCTGAGAACTTAAGATCCAGACTTACAGGAG